AACTATATATTTTTAACATTACAATTAACAGGGCCAAACTTGGTATGCCTCAGTTCTTATCCCCTGATGCTCAAAGTCTTTTGAGAATGCTGTTCAAAAGGAATCCAGCAAACAGATTAGGTGAGTTGGAGAGATTAGACACAAGTTATAAATTATTACAACTGCAGCTTTTAAACATTCCTTTGGTTTTTATCTTTTTTATTCTATGGGGCATAACTGAAGAGTTTTTCAGTTGTTACTGGTCCAGTTTTTTATAATACAGACCATGGTCTGAAATTTTTTTCTGTGCTATTTGCATCATAATTGAAAAATTCAAACCAGCAGAAAAGAATAAACAATTTATTTACTAGTCAAGATCAGTCCATTTGGAAAAAACTGTGCCCTTGGTTTTAAGTACAGCCCTCTGTGACTCTCTGTCATCATGCACACGACTTTAGGCTCAGCTTTCTTCTTCTTTTTTTACTATTTTTATGAATCTCCTTCCTGGAATATAGCATATCCTGGTATATGTAGATGTAGTGTGCAGAGTTTGCTGTTGTCTATAAATTAGTTAGAGATCAAGAAAAGTACTTTAATTAGTGTGAGGGTTATTTTTTCACTTCATTTGTTCATCATTCCAGGTGTTGGTGAGAATGGCATTGAAGATATCAAGGCACATTCCTTCTTTTCATCCATAGAATGGGAGGTTTGTTTTTGAAAGCTCTTATTTCTTTTCATTATGTCCTGATTTGGTGCTGAATTCATTCCTCAAAGTTTGGCTCGCATAAGGATTGATTCATGTCTCCTGCCCTAGAACCTGAGTTGCTCAACTCTTATCCTTTCAACTCCTAAGATCTGATTGTTAATTCTCCCCTCCAGTTCCTACACATTTCCTTATTAATTGGACATTAGAATTTGGTGTGAGACCAGATGACAACTTCTACTTGATGAGTTTGAATATTCTCGTAACCTGTTTGCCAGATGATGTGTTGATATTACTGGGAGAAGTTATGTGTTAATCACTTTTGGGAGTTAATATAAAGGGTCAAGAGCTTTTACAAGCACAAATTTGCTCAGGTCACCTTACCTCAAGTAAAAGTAGGTTTCCTGTAGTTGTACTCAGGGTCTGTTGAAGTGCAGCCTTGCGCCTTCTTGTTGTGTTGATTCCTAAAGGTGGATTTGATATTTTCAGAAATTATACAAAAAAGAGCTGAGGCCCCCATTCAAGCCTGCAGCTGGGAGAGCAGATGATGCATTCTATTTTGATCCTGAGTTTACCTCCAAGACACCACAAGGTATTGTTAAAGACAAAAATGTTACCATTTTAATCTGGCATCCAGACCACTGCAGTCATGGAAGGCTGAGAGTCCCTGATTAAATTAAACATTTACCTGCACAATTTTGAATTACTGCACAATTGAACAACAGAATAAGAGAACACATGATGAAATAAACTTAAGATAGATATGACATAAACTTTAGTTTGTCTCACATTTGATAGTATCTGTACTGAGCTATATGTAACATCCTAAAGGAAAACAAAACAACAGAAAATCAATATAGACTGAAAATCAACATTCACTATAAATATTTTCTACAAGAAATATTACCATTTATTTACCAGTGGATCACTGAATTATGCAATTCATGAGTTTTCATTGGCTTAGCCATCATATATGAGTTATGAGCCGTTATTCCATACTCTACATGGTGTTTTAGTACACTATAATATTATGTTTGATCTTACAAAATAAAGTTGGGAAGATTTTCAATATTTTGGGGCATTTTTAATAAAACAATTGTTCCATTTGCATTTGTTGAATACAAGATGATTATAGCCAACTTGGCCCTACTGGTCTTGTTGGCTATCCATCATCTCAGATCCAACATGTGCTCTGAAATAGTTATTTAATATTATACATCAGATGATTAGGAAGATCAATATGCAAGAATCTTGCATCAGAATTAAGGGAAATTATCAGTAGTTCTGAAAGAGTCAGGATATTAGTCGCTAGATATGAACAAGAGTTACTTCAGTATAAAAATTCTTTCATCAGCGTTAAACAAATGGTCACTTACACCTAACTGTAACTTAATATTTTGTGAAGTGCAAACTGTACATTCAACAGCTGTGGTTCAACTAGCGTCAATAATTTGAAACATGGCATTCCCTTTTGGCACAACTTCTATGAACAAAATGTAGTTGAGCCTTTTACTCCCAATTTCTTTTCTTTACTCCCTGCACTGTCTTCTATCCTTTTCTTGAGAATTTTTTCCTACATAATTTGGTGTTCAATCAAACAATGTTGCCTACATGTACATAATGTTTTTCTTGTTGCCTGTTTGCATGTGAATTTATTGATATTGTTAGGAAAATTCTGTTTGGTTACTCCTAAGTAACCATAGTGAAAGGTTAAAGAGGATTACATGCCAACCTGTCGCTTGCCTGATGCTATCTTTTTTTCTCAGATTCCCCAGCTGTTCCTCCAAGTGCCACATGTCATCAGCTCTTTAGAGGGTTTAGTTTTGTGGATCCATCACTTGTACAAGTAAGTTATGGTATACATATCTGAATAGCTCCTTGAAACTTTATGAGCTAAGGAAAAATAGTTTTCTTTGGGTATTTTCTTCTTTGCATTCAACATGGCACATTCATGTGTTGGCATTCTCTCCTGCTAACTAGTACATAGCTATACTTTTTGTTTTAAATCTCACCTCCTATTTGATATAGTAGCTACTATTGTTTGTAATTGGACAGCTTGGAGTGCAATTTAGAAATATTGCAAATTATTCATCATTTCAAGATTACAATGCATGATTACAACAAAGTGGGTTATGTGGCTTGGAACCTCTGTGCTCTATGTCTTTGTCCACCATCCATTGCCATGTGGTCTTTTGACCACAAAAGTTATCTCTCTTTGGACATAAACAGTTTACCTGTATGATTATGCAATAGCTCCAGTATATTATTTGGTGTACTGGGAACCAATCAGAATTAAGGATTTAATAGTTGCACAGTAAATGAATGTGACTTTTCTTTGCCATTGCAATGGTTCACTGATAGTCCTGGTTTTATTACAGGAGGAATCTGATCAAACAACATCCAATGGACCTGAAAAAATGGAAACTGACCATAGAGTAAGAAATCAGTAACTAATAACTTACAAGTTCTTGTGTTCCTTGCTTGCTAGCTTTTCTGTTACTTTTTCCGATACATTATTTTTTATTTTTATTTTCCCTTTAGTCAAAGTTAAGTCTTTCTTTATTGATTCATTCCCCAAAACATAGTTATTGACAGAGCTAGTTTGAAAGTTTCCAGGTTAAAACTCATTGCTTGTAATGTAAACAGCTGTCTATAGTCAAAATATACAATTGATATTAACAGGTCTAAGATTATTGATTATTTATATTAAAAGCTTATTAAAGTGTTTTTTTTATTTCACTCCAGCCTTTGCATAACATCTTCCAGATAAGAACAACATCCATCCTTGAAGAATATGATATTAAACAGGTAGATTCATGCATAATTTGTTTTTAAAAGATAATGACATTGCTTGGTATTTTTTTCTTCTTACATCATATGACTGGATGGGCAACATTGCGTTTTATATGATTAGCTGAATTATACAGTCATATGTTTTAACTGGTACATGTACTTACTTGTGATCTTTTTGAGGACAGTCACCATTTACAACATTTTGTTTTTTTGTCATTAAAAACAAATACATTCCATGTTGCTGTGGGTCTATTTGGTGATAGATCACAGAAGATGTCAAAATGTGAAGAGAACATCAGTGACACACATGGCTGCCCCTCATGTAACTTTTTTGTTCTAGTCACACTTTGATGTCATTGGTGAACTTTTCTGAATAGATGTATCAGGCAAATGGAATCTGTTTATTGAGTGGAGAGAAGTGTGATAGAGTGATGAGGGTTTTCAGTTAAGATGGTTTTGTCAGATGTTGAGTACATGCTCTGCATTATGCTCATGTGGCCATTAGTAGTGACAGGATTAATTAGAAAGAATGATAAACATTCTTAGTTATGGGCACAGTAGGCTGAGTAATGTCCATATTATACTGAACCTTTTTGCTAATTAAACCTTTATATTTTTGGCAACAGGAAATTGGAAGAGGATCATATTCAGTATGTAAAAAATGTATTCACAAAGCATCAGGGGGAGAGTGTGCAGTCAAGGTATAAAACATTGATTTTCATCAGGTTAATTGCACAATGTATGCACACCATTTAGAGCCACCTTTGATCTGCAGGTTTTAAGTTAAATATCCCCTTCTGCAAGTCTTAAGCCCAATGATAAATAGGGAGGGCTTGAAGTTAACTTTTTAGTTGACTTGCAAAGTTTTGCTAGTTAGATTTTTTCCCTAGCAAACTGGTGAGACTATATAGCAAATTCTTTCCCTTTGAAATATCAATTATCATATTTGATATAAAGTTTAGCACTGATATTTTGCACAGGCTATCAATAAGCTGAAAAGTTTTATAAAAAAGGTAGTAGTAGTAGAAGTGATGCTTTTAATTGCTTCATGCTATGGAGACCAGGATAAACTCCAGCTGGATAGGCCTCTAGGGTCTGGTACAGACTTGACTGTTCACATGAATTTTGGAAAAGACATGATCATTGAGAATTTTACTCCTTGTTCTAACTTTACAGATTGTAGATAAGAGTAAACGAGATCCTACAGAAGAAATTGAGGTGAGAACTCCTCTTTAATTGTTTGATTTTTCTGGCTTTACTTGTTTTATAAAATCATGTGTTCTTTCTGAGTCATTGCTAGCTTGTTAAACTTTGAAACAAATAGAATGAGAAAAATATTCCACTTTTAGCAGTTATGCCTTGCATTTTGTAATTCCACAGAGGAATAACAAAAATTTTGATATTGTTTTAATTGGCAAACTAAAACACTAATTTATCAATTATATATTAGGTAATTAACACGAACTATTTCCCTTACAGATTCTTTTACGATATGGAAGCTATCCAAATGTGATTCACCTCAGAGATGTAAGCTGAGATATTTACATGTAGAGAGATTTTTTATATGATTTTTGATTTTTCTCTGTCTTCTCATAAGCTCTTTACTTGACAAGGTATTGATATTATAAGGAGAAATTACTTATTGATCGGTATCAAGAGTATTAGGGTTGATAGTTAAAAAACTTGGTTGAGCTTCCGAAGATGCAGGTCGCGTAATGGGTAACCAGGTCTCCACAGCTCCCCTTCCCTTGCTTCTTAAACATCCTCTTCACACCTCCCCCCTTCTTATTTTTTGTTCACCACTTAAAAGATGTAACTGATATACATAAATATTTTCCTCTTCGTCGAAGGTGTTTGAAGATGACAAAAATGTGTTCATGGTGATGGAGCTCATGAAGGGTGGAGAACTACTGGATAGAATATTGAAACACAAGAGTCTATCAGAAAGAGAGGCTGCTCTTATCATGTACACTCTGGCTAGCACATTTACTTTCCTTCATGAAGAAGGGGTAGGTTATATGTTTTTGACCAATCTCCAAGTCAGTTTGACTAGAATATTGGCAACATTGTGTATTTTTAGTTTTTTACCCAGTTGTCGTGACCGAGTAAGCTCGCGCGAAAAAGACTGTGCGATAACGTAAATTGGCCACCGTTAAGAGTTTCAAAGCGGACATTTCAGCCAGAGCGAAGGTCGAAACGTCAGCTTTGAAACTCTTAACGTTGACCAATTTACGTTATCAACTCAGTTGATAGTACCACATTATTTTATTCTGGGACTGTCCTTGTTTTGCTTGTCTACGCTCTTTGATTGTGTCAAGAAAACTCGAGCCAGCCTCTCAATCAGAAACTGAGAACAACTAAACCCATCCCGACTTGGTCACTCGCGTTTTCCCGCGCTTTAGACAGTTAACATCTTTTTCCTTTGAGTTCTCATTGGCTCCTTGTGACATTTTCCTTTATTCTGAATGGTCGTTGAGATCACTTTGGTTATGGTTTTGCAAGACTTAATCGAAAAGTTTCCCATATGTAAAGATACAATTTTTCGGTTTTGCGATGACAATTTGGGTAATCCCGCCCCTGTGGCTTTCTCTGGTAGCCAACCATGAACTAACGAGAATTTTGCCCCTTCGTTATAGGTTGTACACAGGGATTTAAAACCAAGCAACATCATGTACGCGGACGACAGCGGCAGCCCCGAGTCTCTGAGGATAGTTGATTTTGGGTTTGCTAAACAGATCCGCGCGTCAAATGGTCTGCTTATGACTCCATGTTATACGGCAAATTTCGTGGCTCCAGAGGTGCTCAAGAAACAGGGATACGATGCGGCTTGTGACATCTGGAGCTTGGGCGTTCTTCTTTACACCATGCTAGCTGGGTGAGCGAGTGTTTCGTAGTGTTCTTGAGAACTGTTAGTCTTCCACGCAGTAGCATGGGAGCAGGTCCTCATTATTAGCGCTGAAAGACGCGCGTTTCTCCGCGCCCGGGAAGATTTCGGACGAGTCGGGAAGAAGTTTGGAGGAGGGTCCGGCTAATCATTAGTCAGCATAATGTGTAGAAAGAAACCGCGTTATTGCTGACAAAACGGAGACCTGTGTAGTTATAGTTGCGGCTAACACTTTCTTCATTTATCAACATCAGGCAAACACCATTTGCTGTCGGCCCAGAAGATTCTGCATCGGTCATTTTGTCAAGAATCGGGGAAGGAAAGTATTCCCTTGTGGGAGGAGCCTGGGACCATGTCTCAGATGTTGCCAAGGTAATGTCACAAAAACCTTACTTAAAGTGTCATTGTTCCTAACATTATTTCTGTGAAAGGTTAGATGTCTATGTCGAACAAATAAATGTTATTGAAAATTCTAGAACCTACCCTATAATGAATTTAGATACACTTTGTTAGTGCGCCGCGCCGAATTCTGGAAAGGAGGCGCGCCAAAAGATGGAACCTTACTTTTTTTGTGCTTCACACCCAAAGCATTGATCTTGTTTTGTTCTGATTTGCCTATCATTGATTGACACCTTTTTGATTACTCTCTAGGATTTAGTCAGACAGATGCTTCACGTTAATCCAAGACTGCGGCTGACAGCAAAACAGGTGAGCTTGAAATAATTTACAAATAGTTGTTAGAGAAATGACCTGTGGATGGATTATCTTGCATTGAGTAATTGGCAATTTAAAATTAAAGTCCTTCGAACGTCAATCTTCCTTTTCGTGCTGGCCTTTGATACTTTAGTGACTGTTTTATCCTTGTTTTAACTGTTCAAAGAAACAAGATTAATCTTCTTTTTCACTTGGAAAATGACTGAAAGCCATTTCCGAGTTGTTTCTATGGTCCAAAATTCACTCTTTCCCATCCATCGTTCCATCACTTCAGTGGCTCACAGCCATTTTAATTCTTCAGAAATGGCGTTTTAATTAAATTGGAAAAAGCCGTTTTTGTTTCTGTGTAGGTGTATTTTATTATTTGTATATTTACGTTCGTGGCTCCTCCTAACCGTTTTTCTCTCTTTTCAGGTTCTTCAACACCCATGGGTGGTAAGTCGTCATCAACTACCTCAGCACAGGCTTCACCAAGTCAGCAGTGTGTCAAGAATTAAGGAAGCTGTCAAGGCAACTTTCTCCGCCCTCTCTTCCCCTGACAACAAGCGGCTTAAACCCGTCCATGCCTCGCTGCTGGCACAGCGAAGAACGAGAAAGAAGTCGCCAAAATAAACGATGGGGCGTTTTTTGTACGCACTCATCCTTTTGTAATGATACTTTGGTACGTGTTATAGATAAGAACATTTTTTACGTTCTTGAACAAGTGAGATATAGATAACCCACAAAACCTTCGTTATCTCCATCCATCTGGGTGCAGTGTCCCGTATGACGAGACCAAGTTGATGCAACAGTCATCGCGGGCTCACTTGATACTCCATACGGAGTTTTGGTTCAACCCTTTAACTCCCAAGATCTCATTAGTAATTCTCCTTACTGTCTGCCATATAGTTCTTGTGATGTTAGTTCAAAGAATTTGGTACTGGATCAACTAATAATCCTCTAATTGATATTGTTCTTTATTCTCATTGCTTGTCCACTTGACATCGTATCGATATTGTAAGGAGAAATTCTGTCTTTGTCACTCGCGGGAGTTAAAGGGTTATAACGTATGGTGATGCTCTCCTCAGGTTGTTTGTCTTCGAGAGGAGAAAACGTTGTTTTGTTGGCTAAGACTGTAAAGTAAAACGAATTGATTTTTGCGTGGTACATATTTATATAGATTGCAGTTAAGCGTAGTTGGTTCAGAAAATAGAAAACAATTTCATTCGGCCAAGACATGTCACTTATCAATTTTTGCCACTAGGGAATTTTGCTTACTAACGACTTCTAGGCGCAAAATTCTTAATTCTTGAAACAAAAATACTTGTATTATGCGACTGATAAGAAATTTTCGTATCATTGAGAAAAATTTTTACAAGAATATACCACTAAATTCGTACACTAGAAAGATTTATCACGGGGAGGATCACGAAACACTTGGATAGAAAAAAAAAATCACATTTTAAAAAAAATTTAGTTTCTTTTCTAGCCAAGAGTTATAATGGAGAGGGTACAATTGGTTCATTTGATATTAGGGTATCGGAAAAAGAGGCCGAGAATGTAGTCATGTAACATAAACAAGTAAAAAAGCTTAATTCAAAATTTTCCGTCTGAAGGTAAAGGCTGACCATTTAAAAATGTTAACCAGTTTAGTTTAGAGTACAAATATTCATTATTTTTCCCAGAAAGTAGTAAAGTGTGTCAATTTGAAAGTGAAAATATTCAGACCTATTTTGTACACCACAAGTCATGAGTATTTTTCTATGTTTTCAGGGCAGTTTTCTCACAAACTTTGTATAATGTTTGTACACATTGTAGGTTAAATTCAACATGCATTGGTAATGTACATGGGTGTCTTAGGGGTGAAGCTTTTGAAAAATAATGGATATCACAATGCAGACATTAGTTTAAATAAAATTATTGATTGACTAGATGGCGTGTGCTCCATCTCTTTCTTTGAGTAGAATTTTCGAGCTGTTTTTTTGAGCTTAGATTAGAAACTCCTGGTTGTTTGTTTTTTTATGTTTCTCTTGAAACTTTGTTAGGAATTCACACATTATTTTTGAGAACTACTATAGTGATGTTGATGTAAGGATTAGACGTAAAGGAATTGAGTTTTTTGCTATGTCAATAAAATTACATCAAGATTAAAAAAAATAAATTTTAGTTTTGTTCCAAAAGCCTGGCGAAAATAAGTAGTAAGGTTGAAATCTATCATTTGTGGAATCTTGTTGTGTGCATCCACAACGCTCCAATTTTGAATTAGCTATCTTTTGTTATCATGTTAAAGAGTATAACCTTGAGCTGGTTAAGCTGATGAATTCAAACTTTGTAAATAAAATTATATCTTTGTCGTTGTATTTTTCTGCCCCCTGACTCTGTTGAATATACGAAAGATTATAAGGAATTAGTTTAATTCTTTAATAAACTTCGTAAAGTTTACAGGCGTAGAGGCGATCTACTCTCACGCGACCCGTTGACCACGTACATACCCTACGTCCTAATACACACGCCAGGAGCGCGTGTCGATTAAAGACTCGAATCTCCACGTGCAAACCATGACAGGTCTAAAAGGAGAATCGTGCAATTCAACTCCTTGGAAAACGCGTGACTTTATTCAAATCGTATTGGAGAGTCGCACGGTGAATAAGTTAACCGTAAAAATGTTTCTGTTGACTTTATCGGGAAGAAATTAACTGTTAGCTGTAAAAGTCATCACCCCATTGAGACCCTCATATACACCAACGGTGATAATTACGTGGGTTAGAATTTCCGCATAAGGGAAATTTAGCCTAAATGTATGCTGAAAAGCTATAATATAAAACTGTTGTGGAATTTTTGTTCGGAGCTACCTTCTATAAGTCTATTAAACCCGCAGAAAGATAAGCATATAATGACAGCTGTATCAGATACCGTAATGGAGACCGAGAATTGAATGCGTCAAGCTGAACATAACCTTTCCCTGATAAACATCTTTAGTTTTATGTTCTATTCTTCAATCAAAGTCGTGTGTGCACTATCAGCTATTCCTTTGGCGCGCTTTCTGCAGAGCTAAAGAAGCCTCGCTTTCATGCTAACTCGATCCACTCTTTCCTCCTTTGGCGTAACAATTCCTCTCTTTTTGCAACCTGGACATATTTGTCAGCAGTTTATTTATTGGAACGGATCCATCAGAAAGTGGGAATCGTCTTTCTCCGTTTCCTAAATCGATGTGTGTGGAAGTTATTTGTCGCTAATTTTCACGTCTTTTATGCAATGCAAATATTTAGCAGGACACTCGTTTCAGCTGTGTTATCGTAACTATCAGCTGTGAATCTGTGACAAATCTTTGAGGAAGCTCCAGGGCTTGATTAAAGCTTCACAACGGAAATTTTTTTGTGCAAAGTTCTTTGCTTTAGGATCTGAGCCGAAGTGTTTTGAGAGAAGACATGTTAGACTCCCTCGTTGCATCGATCTTGAATGGAGTTCTCGGAAAATACATCAAAGATTTAGACAGCTCGAATCTCGAACTCGGAATTTTTAGTGGTAAGCGAACTTTTAATTACATTACTACTTCAGCTTAAGTATAAAACGAAAGCAGTATGTAAATAGGAAAATAGAGAGCTGAAGTTCTTATTTAAATGCATAGTTTTGCACAATGTAATAGGATATGTTATGATCGTGTGCGTGTCTTGTGATATATATAGCGCAGCCTTACTCCGAAAAAGCTGGAAAATGAAGCCCTGTCAAATTTATGAAGGAATTACAGTTTACTTACGGAAAGAGTTAACAAACAGAGTTAATGAGAACAGAAGCTAAATTTTTAATTACAACCGAACCCTCTAAGGAAAACTGCCCGAGGAATCAAATAGACAGCTGGATAGAGCGAGGGGAGTTCCTCTGTACTGAGTGAGCTTTTTGCAAATGTTCCCTAAGGGAAATGGCTTCACGTCCGATTCAGCTAGAAGTTCAGTTCACGTTAACTAAGTTTGACTTAGCGCCGTGCTACTTTGAGGTGCGTGCTAGGGAATATTAAGATATTTTATTTCCATATTTAATTCAAGTTGGGTGGTGTTTAGATTTCACTTTCGTTTTCCTCTTCACTCGTTAGTGTGTTTGTGCCAAACATTGAGTTGAGCGTGACTTTGTATATTGTGTGACGCAGGTAACTTTGCGATTTGACGATGTGATACAATTGTTTTATGTGAAGAAACTAGTGTCCAAGAGTTTGTCATTATTAACTTTATTCGTAATCATTAAACTGCACTAAGTATGATGATGTTTTAATTGCAGGGGGTTGATTGAATGTCAATTAATTCTGGAATTTGTTTTTAAGGAAATGTTGTCCTGACAGATCTTGAACTGCGAGATGATGCATTGGTAAGCTGCTAGTAAAAGGCAATTTTCACCATTCAACATGAGCCCATAAAAATCCATGAGTTTCTTAAATAGTAATGTGTATTTATAAGTAGCCCTCAGGCTTAGAAATGTTACCATTGGTTTCTGCACCAGTGCAGATTCAGAGATATTTTGCCCATGAGAAGTTTGAAAAAAATAAAAGCTACTCAGTGACTATATCCTGATCAACAAATGCTGAGTGATAAATCAATTGTTCAATTGTTGTCCATTTTTTTAATTTGTAACTATGTTATGTATAGATCAATTCCCTCTGTTATGCCAATCGATGCCTGCACACCCATCATCAACATGCATGATGAGTATTTGTCAACAAGTTATCACAATTGAATTTGGTTATGCAAATTTACCTGCTATGTTCTAAATATTGTTTGCACTGGTTTCAAACATTTTTCAACTTTTTTCCTACTACTTGATTAAATGATGATGTGAACCACATTCTTTTTTTTTTATTCAAATCTATAATTCCCAGAAGTTATTAACGATGTAACTTCTCCCTGTAATATCCACTTATTATGTAGCAAACATGTTATGAGAATTCACTCAAATCTGTTGGGTAGAAGTGCTTATCTGGATCTAACATTAAATTCTCGTTCCTAATTTACAAGGAAATATGTAGCAGCTAGAAAAGGGAGAATTAACAAACATATCTTTGAAGTTACGGGGTTAAAGCTAACTCTTGAACAAGAATGAATGCTCAAGAGATGGCCAGGAATATTCGCAGTCTTAATTATTAGAATGTCAGCAATTTCAAGTTTAATTTCCCTCTTGATGCAATGTTAACACTATGTTATTACACTTGCTCTTAAGGATGATTTTCATCTTCCCATAGAAGTGACACATGGCTATGTTGGTAAGTATTGTTATTTATGCTTGTATACAAGCTGCATTTAATTTATTGTCATCAAAAATTATATGTATTTTTTAATAATCAGTATTACTGTGATTTTTGATAAAAGGGATAATTTCCTTTTGAAATACTTTATAAGTGTTTTGTTATGCTATTTAGCCTCATCATGTGTAGTAAATAATGATGATCACAGAAACATTTTTGGTTTCAAGGAAATTGTATTTAATTTTTTTTACAGCTTCCTTGAGATTGATCTTTATCAGTTTGATATCTATTTTATATTACACACTTTTGGAGTATTTATCGACAACTTGGTAATTAAGGTAACTGTTATGGGATATGATCTCTTTTGGTATGCCTTAGTGTAACTTTTCATACATGTACTTATGTGCAGGGGAAATCTCTCTGACAATTCCATGGACTAATCTGTATACTGAGCCCTTGGACATAGCGGTGCATGATGTATATCTGATAGCAGGACCCATTCGAGGTGAGGTATCATCAATTATTTTTACCCTTTTGACCTAATATTACACTTACTGCATATCCTCTATTACAGTACACCCTGTACATTTCCTTAGAAGTTTACAACAATTATGAGCTTCTTTAGTTGGCAATTATTTCCTTTTTTCTTGTGACCATAATGTGTGATTCAAGGGTGATATTGTTAGGGGAAATTAGATGCTATGTACTGTTACGGGTCAAAAGGTTTTTTAAATGGTTTTACCTGCAGTACATCCTCCTTCTTATCTGTTAACTTTTCACTGTCTGTTATCCAAGCCTCTGATGACAGTGGACAGGAAATCTTTTTGTTTAAAAAGTTGCTTTGTTTCTTGAAGGCATGTAGTTTAATGCTATTTTTGGTTGCTTGTTTGGTATTTTTGCTTTTGGCCATAGAGAGAGAATATGACCCTGTGAGAGCTAATGCATCAGAACTTGCAGCTAAAAGAAAACGCCTCTCCCAGATTGAACAGCAGACTCAGGCCACAGACATCAGTGAAGGTTAACATTTTCAACTCAATGTGATGTGATAATAACACAAGTACATACATATCATGTACAGTCATGTGCTTGTACAAAATAATGTACATGACTTTATACTTTTTTTGGCTAAATGATAGTGCATCAATGCTTGAAGTGCTTTTACTTATCTCAATTAACTGTTTATATTGTAGAATTTCCTGTAAAAACCACCACTTGAATAATGTAGAAATGTTGGTAACTTAACATTTTAAATTTGTTACATGTAATTATATTTATTTAAAGGGTATTGTTTGTTTAGAGAAGCCAAAAAATCCTGAAGAGGGCTCTGACTCCTTTGTGGACAAACTGATAGCTCAAGTTTTGAAGAACCTTAAGGTAAATTTTTACAACTGAGTTACAAATATCTAACAATGTGTGGAATTATATAAATGAATTGTGCAAGTTTTACACTGTTATGTGGGAATATATTTGTAAGGGACAGTGTACATGTAAATAGCTTTTGAATTCACAACTCGTGCTGCATTCACTTTGTTTACATTATTAATGGTATCTGTTTCCATTTCTTAGATTTCTGTGAAGAATGTTCATTTTCGCTATGAGGATAAGGTATAAACTGAGCAAAATTATCATCATGATTTTTTTTATAAAACCATTTCCTCAGGGCCTGTACAGTTGCTTAAAACTGTTGGCTGACAGTCAATTGTCTGTCAGTAGACAGTTGGTCAACAGTGAGCTGACTGTTAGCCATCAGACAGCTGATAGTCAGACAACAGTCGGCAAATAGTCAGCCAACAGATTTTTTCAAGGAGTTCTTCTCAATTACTGAGAACCCTCTGATAAACATCCTAATTATTGCTGGTCATCCTTTCTGACAGGTTACTTCTCCAAATAAACCATTCACTGTGGGCTTTACTCTGCAAAATCTCTCAGCTGAGGTGAGTTCTGATTTTATAAACCCTTTAAAGCCTGAGAGTGACCAGCATCAAATTTCTCCTTACAGTAATATGGCTGAATCATTCATTAAGATCATGAGAAGAAAGGAAATGATCACCTCCCAAAAAAGCTTTGATTGTTCAACAAATTCTCCTTGTCAGTGCTAAGGGAAAAATATATAGAAGAGTATAGAGAATATGGATACTGATGTTAGGGTGTAAAAGGTTTATTAAAGGTTAATGAAAATAATGGCTCCTGATGAAGGCCCTTAATAGAAAAATACTAGGTCTCAGTATCAGGTAGTCTTTATTACTCAACCCTTACTTCTGCTCCACGCAAGTCAATCTTCTGGCAGATCTGCCTTGGTCAATCTAGTTCTGATGTTACCCACATGTGAACTGCTAATGAGGTTTTGGTTTCCTTTAGACAACCAATGAATTATGGCAGGAGTGTGTAGTGGATGCGTCAGCCAAAACTATTTACAAGGTATTTGCTGATTCAAATTGTAAATTGTGTAGAGTTATCTTCAAACTGCTTTTTTTTGTGTAAAAATGGACAATAGTCTCTACATTGTAAAATCTAGTGCAATTGATTATAATAATCAATATTTTTCAATCTTTAGATAGTGAGTCTCGATTGCCTGGCTATGTACTGGAACACAAATCAGACGCCAACGCAGTTCTTTTCAATGCAACATTCTTGGAAGGTGCCCTCAAAGAATGTATTCATATTCAGTAATTTGTAATACGCTACTTGCATAAGCTTATCATTTGCTTTTATTAATAGGCTTAAGTACATGCATGCAGGAACTTGTCTTCACAATTTGTGTGTTCTCCTTCCCCTGCATGCTTATATACTTCTAGCACGTGCAGACATAGCATATATTTGTGAGAAAATTACCTTAATTTGAAGAATGTCCTTGCTTTTTAACAATGCAGTCAGCTGTTTAGGAGAGGTGCAAATTAAGATGAATAAACAATGTCATGGTCAATCCTAGTCACCCATAGAGAGGGATTGGGGAGAGAGGTTGGGCAACTGAGCAAGTAAGGGGATAGTAGAGAGGGATGGGGGGGAGGGGTTGGGCGATTGGGCAGGTAAGGGGGTGAACAGGCTAAGAAGCAAAGTGGAGAAGGTTAGCAGAGGGTTGGTGAGTTAGGTGTAGGGGAGGTTATGAGGGAATAAGAGCAACATTTTAGGGGGCTAAGGAGGGGTAGGGCAGATAAGAGGGAAAGGGAGGAGAGAGTAAGCTGGCTAAGGAGCAAGGAGGGGAAGGTTGAAAGAAGGTTGGAGAGTTATATGTACCAGGGGTGTGTCAGAGAATAAGGAGCAAGATTTTAGGAGTAAGGAGTCACACCAGGTACAATTGTTTAGTAGCTGAAGATTTGTCCTATTGAAATCATATGGTATAGTTCCTGTTTCTCTTTTTCAGGACCTTATGAGCTGTGAGGTCTCAAGCAAAACAAGCCTTCCATCCAATTATGAATTCAGTAGGTCTCATCTATGGCAGTTAGGATTAAATAGTGAAGAGAAAGTTTAAATTGTGGGTGTTTTGAAGAGTTTATAGCATTTTTAGCTAAAGCAATGGACTGTACATGACTGTATACTTATGAAAAAAGACCTTAAATTGAGTGATGATGATTTTGAGTGTGCTGTGTTTGATCTACTATTAGCAAAGTGTCAAACTAAATATAGAATTGTGGTTGTACTTTCTTCAAATGATAGATCATAAATTAAGTAAGGAAAGTGTTTTGAGAATTCTTTGTTGATATTCTGTCTCTAATAGCTGTGTTGATTACTTATTTGTTTAAAGTTTTAAAGCCTTTGTCTGCTGAATGTCATGTTGTGATGGACCAGTCATCAGAAATAGTACTTGACACACCTAAGGTATTTGAAAAAGTCTGCAAATTTTTGTTTTTGAAAAGCTCCCTATTAGTAGAAAACCACTATTCATTATTTTTCAAAATCTTTTTTTCTTTACAGCTTCTGATTGAGGTGTTACAGCAGGAGTTATCTCTAGTATTTACCCAGACCCAGGTAAATATCAAACCAAAAAGATCTGAGGAGTCACTATTTGTAAAATGTAGTGCACATGTCTTTTCCAGTTTTTTTTTTTTTATCTTAACTCATATTTGTATGTTTTGGTCATAGTTTCACAACGTGATGGATTTGATTGAATCATTTGAGTCAATGACCATAAACCAACGTTACTTAAGATATCAACCAACATTACCAGTGAGGAGAGATCCAGCTGCATGGTAAACTCTTATTTCTGGGTCTAAGAATCATGCACACTGTTGGTTATACATTTCTGTAAATTTCAGTCAGAATTGAAAATAATCCTTGTAAATCCCCTGCTTTCCAAGCATCTTTGTTGTGTTTGCCTGTTTCCTGAACATATAAATTATTTTATTTTTTAAACCTTATATAACCAAGGCATCAAAAGCCTAATCAAAATCTTCTGTACTTCAAGCTGGAATTATTATAATTGTTATTCTCATGGAGAAAAAGTGTGTTTATCCTTATCAATGAAAATAAAAGAGAGGAGAATTATGAAAAAAGGTTCAGAGAAGAAGGCAGTGGCACTTTGTTTTGCCTGAAATCAAATGTAGGTTAAAACGAAATGATGATAATCCACAAACTGTTTGTTGTTTGTGTTCAGAAACATTTTTCAAGAACAGAAAGGGAAAAAGAGGCATTTGAGAATTTTTCACCAGAATTTCACTCATAGGTGGATTAATAATTAAGTTCTCTGAGCGGATGTGAATTTTAACAACATTATCAGTAGGGGTGCATTTATTTTCTTTTACAATCTTGCAGGTGGAAATATGCATACACTGCTATTTGTGAGGAGAAAATTAGATGCTGGTCATGGGATCGCATAAAGGAGCACAGGTAAATGTAAATGATAACAAAGAGAAACTTTGTAATCAAATTCTTGGCTTTTTTTCTTTTATAAGTTTTATTTTTATCAAGTTTCATGATTTACAGTTGAGCCCCTTAATGAAATGGCCTGGGAATATATAGCAATCAGGGTTCAAGTAAAAACAAAAACAAATTTAAGGGGGAGGTCACTTACTAGCGTCAGGTGGTTTTATAGAGGATTGAATGTATTTTGCTTTAGTCTAGGAAAGATCACTTAAGATTCTGTAAGAGTGTAATTAGAGTACATGGATGTCAAGATCTCAATAATCCTTTGAGTAGAACTGAAACCAAATTATATCACAAGGGTCAGTCTGAAGTGGGAACTTAATCATGAAGAGAAATTAAGTAAATGCAATGAACTGATTGAAAGGGAAAAAAAGTTTGAAAACATGAGTGACTAAGTCATGACAGGTGGTGTGAATGTTCTGCAGGAATCACTCCATGTGGTAAATCACAAGCAACCAATGCAATATAGCATTACTTTGGACTTGAAATTTAAACTGCATCATTGACTAATAATAAATTAAATAAATAATAAAGTTAACCTTTTACTGTTAATATGTGTAGCTCTATTTCTACTGCATAAATGTATTGATTACTATCAATGTCTTCCTCTATTCAGGAGAAAGTATCATTTGTATAAGCACCTTTGGGAGAGAAAGTTAAAAGGATTAAGTGAGGATGAACAGTCTTCCGTTAGAAATAGCATTCAGGTATACACTTTGAGGGTTTTGCATTTATCTAGTAATTTGTTATGACTTTTATTGTTTAGTGGTGATTCCTCAGTAGCATTTGTACTTACAGTATTATTTATCTACTTTCTGTTAGTCGTTGGAAGATCAACTTGATATTCCAAGTATTTTGATTGCAAGGAGACATGCAGAAATAGAAGTAGGTATCTCATAACAAGTAATGTTGCTTGCATATACATGTAATGTAACATGGGGGCTAAGCACACACCGTTGTACATTTCTTTACAAAATGAGAATAAGATGTATAACAAAGGTCTCAGATAAGGTGTAACTTTGAGTGCCTTTTAACCTTTGATCCCTAAGAGTGATTGGCATCTACTTTCTCCTTACATTATTACCCCTGAATCATATGTTAAAGATATGAGAATTAAGGAAATAATCAAGGACTAAAAAGATCTTGATTGTTAAACAAATTCTCCTTTTCAGCACCTTAGGATATGTATAAAGAACAGTATGGAGAATATGCAACCTGATGTTAGGGTGTAAAGGGTTAAGTTACAGTGGGTTCAGGCTTAAGAAATAGCTGGAGATACCATGGGTGTGAATTGTTTTGGAAAAACTACACTGTGATACACTGACAACAGTAATAGGCTTGAGAGGAAATCCAGATGGAGTTTAAAATAACTGAACTCTTCTTAACCCTTTAACTCCCAAGATCTCATTAGTAATTCTCCTTACTGTCTGCCATACAATTCTTATGATCTGAGTTTGGAGAATTTGGTTTTGGATCAATCAACAATCCTCCAAATTATTAATATTTTTCTTTATTCTCATCCCTTGTATGCTTTTGGTATCAATAATGTAAGGATAAATTATGTCTTGGTCACTCATGAGAGTTAATGGGTTATTTGTGCATGTAAACAACTGATGTTTATTTCAGAAGATCCAGTTTTAAGAGTGTATCCTTTACCTAATGGTGAATTCCCTCTTGACAGAAAGTGACTTTCCAATAATTAAAGCTCCTCACTGAAACTGTTTTCTGAAACTTCTACAGTTTAAAATTATTTCTTGGCTCTTTGGAAGTTTGCAGTGCTCTAAGATTTTTCATTGAGGGAGTTTATCTTTTTCTTTATTCTGAAGGTTCCTCCAAGTCAAAGGTTTAATCCAAGCAAAAAAAAGAAGTCAAATCCCTGGTGGTTGTGGTTGGGTATTGGGTCTGGAAGCTCCACTGACTATGAGGGAGTCATGAATCGAGAGGAACAAGGCATGGAAAGACTGGTTCATGATACATTTTTTCTGATTATATTGGAACAAAAAAAGTAATGAACAATTTTGTGTGAAATCTGCATTTGATATGTTTTAAGACTACTTTTGAAGATGTTGGCTTGCTTCTAAGGTTCTCAGATCGCTGAAGGCCCTTTTAAAGCTCATTTTTTTTTTTTCAAACTGTAATTTTTTTATTGTTTCACTACCACTCATTCAAATACCCTTTTGAGTTTTTTTTTTACATTTGATGACAATTCTTGAAAGCATCTTTTTTGGACAACTTAGTGGAGATGCATTGATTAACAAATATTCTTCCACCCAACTTTCCATAGAGGAGGACATTTGGTCAAAATTCTCAGTTGCAGCTCTTTCTGTTGAGGAAAAGGAAAAGTTGTACAAAGCAATTGATTACAATGAAAGTGTGCGGCTGAAATATCCTACAGAGGTAATGCTACTGTGATGTTTTATAAGTTCTTCCCTATTTTACTCCTTTTTTACAGTGTTTTTTTCTCTTCTTTCTCTCCTCATCCCCTTTCCTTATCGTATTCCTCCTTTCAATCCATCTCCTCTTTCCCTCATTATCTTCCTTACCCTTGCGTCTTTTCTCCTCTTTGTTCTCCCTTTCTTCTATTACTTCCCCTCTCCTTTGTGTTACTCCTCCACCTTTTTTTTTATCCTCCTCTTCCTCTTCCTCCACCCCTTCTCCTCTCCCTGCCCCTCCTCCCACCTCTTCTTTAATCACGTCCTACAAATTCCTCCCTCTCTCATTCATTTTCTCCACGCCATCTCCCCCCCCCCCAACTACGTCTTACCCCTCCTCCTACTCCTCATTCCCTTTTTATTCATTCTTCTTCCTCCTCGTTCTCCCCTTTTTTTTTCTCTCATCTCTCCTCTTTCCCCTTTTCTCACCTTTCTTCTTTGTTCCCTCTTCCTCCCCTTCTTTTATTTCCACCCCCTTTTGTTGTCTCAATCTTGGTCTCTCTATTTGATCCATCAATCTTCGAAACCGGTAATGATCTAGTTATTTACGTTAGGCGGAATAGAAAGGAAACATGGAAAATTATCACTAACTTTGAAAAATACATGTACGTCTTAATGTTTACGTTTTTCACACATGTTACTCTTCTCGACGGGTTGCAGTTCATTAAGTCAAGGATTACCTTCAACCTGGACAGATGTACTTTTGAACTCTTGGACGCTACAAATTGGTGAGTCACATTGCTATCTCTACTGGATCAATACACTTTTTCATTGGTAAACTGTCTTCAGCCTGTTATACCATTTGTCATGTCATGTTTCATTTCAGTAAAATAGCTCAGTTGGATACTGAAGGATTTGATGCAACTTTAGAACACAGGCCGGCTCAGGGAGCCTTTCGGTGAGTTACCATGCATCCTAAAAAGCAAAAACGTGAACGATTTCTCTAACCATTGTAGAAACGATTCTTGCCTCCAATGGTATCACTTTCTCTATAATTTTACTCTCGATAAACGTTACCAATGTTTTTATCCCTCTTAATGGTCCCAGCTATCGGAATTTAACTGCTACTTTTGTCACCAATTTATGTGGGCATAGCATTATTGTTTCCTTTCAACTAGAATTTTTTCTGCCGGTCTCAATCATATTGCAGAGGAGAGGTAGGAACCTTAGGCTTTTCATAAATGTCTATGAAATAACACTTACATGTACAAGGTCTTGTCGGTTCCTGTGAATTTCAATGATCTCTGCGAGATCTTTGAAATTCGTCGAAGTATGTTTAGAGAGAAGCCCTGCAGGAAATGAATGCGTGAAATATAGTCAACGAATATTGTCGTTTGGGATTTAGGTTTCATGGTAAGGTTAACAAATTCAAGATGCTTGGATATTCAGAAGAAGCTACGGAAAACCAGCTTATTCTTGTTTCATCCAAGAGCACCCTTGACGGTGAGTGTGAAATCACATTAAAAATGTTTTACGGCCTTTGAATTTGAGTGACATTCCCTGAAAAGTGGCGATCCCTTATTTTATTGTTCTTTGGTTTTGATTTAGGATATGGAACAGCTCTAGTGCAATGTACATTGGAAACTAAGCCTCTTGAATTGAAAGCAGACTATGCAGTATCCCTGAAGGTGGAGCCCGTTCAGGCTGTCTATGATGCGGTAGGTTGTTGAAGAAATGATTTTCGAAATTTTAACTTGATGTTGCCTTCTTGCGTTTGTTTGAAGTTGACTTTGTGATGCAATATCTCACATAGAATTGATTTTTTTAATCTTATACGATTTAAATCTGTGGGAACATGGTAGTTTTAGGTGTGATGCCATGGAATCTGCATCGAATAGTCTTAATGTGAGCCACACCCAGGGTCGCTGTGTTGTGTAACTCTCACAGAGCTTCTCTCAGTCTAAGAGCGTAATTAAGTAATGGCCAAATGGGGCAGAAAAAACGCTAATGAAACGCTAAGGATTAACTTGCCATATAGAAGCACACCAAAGTAGTATTGATATTGGTTTTTCCACGCTACAGAAACATAGATGCACAGAAGCTTTGGAAGCCATGCGATGAGTCTCTCATGAATGCAGAATATAACTTTACACTGTATTTCTCATATATACGTATCAATAACCTCGAAATAATTGAGAGCGTTTATTCATCTTGGTCAAATTAGGGCTGGCATATTGTATCCATTGAATGTTGTAAGCCACTTGTTCCGGCATTCTTCACACTTGGCACCCAAGGGAAGGAAAAATACGATTTGACTCGAAGGTCAACTCCTTTATATTTTTTCTTTCAGCACACCATTGATAAAATAATAGCATTCTTCTACATGCCTGAAAACTCAAAATTTCAAGAGTAAGTGATTTCTTTTCATCAATGTATACCACGAGAAAATGTCTGATGTACTTCTACTAGTTACTGTTCTGATTATTCCTATTTAGCAAGGTGATCTGCCACGGTTTGCTGTGGTATTTGTGTTATCTTAGCAGTTCAAACTTGGTTTTGGCTCGTCAAATTTTACTGAGGGGCTTTCTGCTTACAGTAAACTTTCGTTTTCAATCTTCATGCTATGCTCCTGTGGTTTGTGTTAAATTGTAATCAAAGCAAGAATTGTATTGTATGACAGAAATTGAGTTCATTTATACAAGCGTGAAGCATAGAAATATTACTCATCTTCAGGGAGGATTAAAACCTCGATTTTACGATTACTTGTCTGATGCTGCATCACCGAGGTTTAGAGAGCTCTCAGGCAAGCAAGGCCACGTCCACGTGTATTTGGTTCAGTCCACACGCTAACAAGTAGCTTTATAGTGCTGTTTATTTCCTTGTTAAAGTACCATTTATTGAGATGCTTGAACCATGCTTACTCAGGCTTGGGGAGGCAGCAGCCAGCAAGCTTCAGGACCTGAGACGGTGGACCCGCGCGGGTTTGGAGTACGCGATAACTCAGCACGAGGTTAAGAAGGAAATATTTTGTTAAGCTACTTGATGATCAACACATAGATGTTTTTCTTTTCAGTACACTGATTAGAGAGGAATTTTCTTTTATTTCCAGCTATCTATCCTATATATTGCAACTCCCTTTCCTTCGCGATCTTTTTGAAGCTTGTCTCGTGGTCTTATTTGGTGCTACTGCTCTAACGAAACGAGTGGACTTTAAAAAGAATCCTAGTTTGTGATAAAATGATTTTAATAGCACATCCTTGCCTGTAACCCCTCGAAGGAATCTACTATCATTGTTGTCCCATAAATGTTAATGCAGAGAGAAAGAGATCAATAACGTTCTTCTTTTCATTATGTACTTTGTAATTTAATTCAGGCTGCGTCTTGCACTGAAATTTATTGTGAAAGAATGGCTTCTCATAGATTTTGTTTCTTGAAGGTTACATACCTTGATTTAGATGTGAGGTCGCCATTCGTGGTAATTCCTGAATATGGAACTCTGCAAAGGTATTACCTAATTGGAGAATGCAACACGATCCAGAGGAAAAATAATGGACCTCGCTGGTTACATTTAATTCTTTTAATAGCTTAAGTTGAACGGTGTCGGTAAGATTTAAGGGAGTTGCTCGGTCCTTATCTTTACTGTTCCTGAAAAAGCGTAGATGGAAATTTACCATTTATCGCGTTTTTCAGCCAATTCTGCAGTGTAGCCTAACCGTTCGAAATTTTTCTTCAGGTGTTAAAACTATGTGACTTAAACCACACACGCATGACGTTCCAGAATTGCGCTGGTTATTTCAAGAAATTTAGGGTTTCTGTTGAGGCCTCGGGCCTTGCAGGTTTCTCTTTTAAATACGACATTCTTTTCTGAGGTACACCGTTTCTTTTCCCCTATCAATCAGGTGCGCTTTTTGTTTCAATCACTTTTTCAGGGATGGAAGTGTTCTTGCTGTTGACTTGGGACATCTGAAGGTGGTCAGTAACTTGGCATCTCGGGACACAAGTGTCAGAGTAAGTATCACCTATACTGATTACTGATGCACCTGTAGTTTTGTTGTATGCTGGGCAGGGAATGCACCTAGAGTTTGCACTGTGAATTGTGATATTTTGCAACAGATCCTTTCAATATTCTTTCTAACAGACAGCGACTGAACATGAATTAGAGGAGATGTTCTATGACAAGTTTGAGATGACTTTGGGTGATGTTCAAGTTATGATTTTTAATAAGGGTTTGTGATTCAGTGTTTTTGACCTTTGATACATTTTTGCGCCCTTCTGCCTTGAGCAAAGTAGCTAATTTTATCATTAATAAGATTGGATTTGTAACTTTTTTAACGTGTTTTTTCTGAAGATGTGAAGTGGGAATCAATGCAAAGTGTCTCAAGTTCACCTCATCACATTTTGCCCTCCACTGCTCTTAAAATGAAGTTACAGAAAAGCATTACGACTGATAATCTACAACTTCCAGAGTGAGTAAATTGTGCAGTGAATGGTTTGAACCCGGGGTAACATGTGATAGTGTTATATGCCTAGACTTTCACTCAACAAAACGAGCACCGTGATTGGTTGATTCTTGGTCACGTGCCCTTGATCAAATTCAAATGTATCCCGACCGAGATACAATTGCGCAGTTGTTGCCTGCGCGCCGAATACAACAGCATGTTTTTGCCATATGGTTGTTTAAGGGAAAGTCTAAATATACAATAAAGCACTTCGTCTCGGGAAAGATCAGGACTCTCGGGAAAACAAAAGTAACTGTTTCCCTCGGGACCATACATTAAGTGTATAGTGTAGTCTGATTGTCCGAGTGATTGTAGTTTTGAGAAGGGCTGTTGTTGACTTCCGCTGTTGGTGACTTCCGTTCAGGTCATCGAAACGTCAGTCACCACAACCGACAACAGTCCTTCTCAGGACCACACTCACTCGGCGAACGGTCAGACTAAACCATCACATGAGCAAATTGTCTAAGCATATGTACGTGTTTCGTGGTACACAGGAAGTGAGGTGCCAACAAGTTCCTTATATTTGAATCCAGTAACATGGCATTCAAATGATGTAAGGAACTCCAAGGTCATGCTACCAAATTCTTCTGGCTGCTTTAGATAGTTAATTCTGCTTCAGCGCCCGAAAACTGAATGTTCGATTTTTTTTTCAGGTTTAAAGTATCATCGGTCCTTCCATCGTTGCATTTAAAGTTATCAGATGAAAAATACAAGATGCTGATGAAGGTATAAAATTGTCATTTCGTACATGTAGTTTCACCAATTTGACTTATTTGACCGTTTTCCTTGTGTTATTTTCTGTCATGAAGAGCATTGTAGCTACTAATCTTCAAGTTTTTCACAAAGTTCTTAGATCACTTACCGTTTGGAGTGCAGCAACCTGTGTTACTGGAAGAAAAGCGCGCTGATGTCAAATCGAAGGTAGGAAACATCGATTTTAATATCATAACGGGGTCTCTCGATGGAATTGATCATTTGATTGTTTGTTCCCAATATCGGTGTTGTCATGAAATGAGTGCCCGACAAATCAGATCACTGATGTACATCAGTTTTCATGCGCCTTACTCCCATAGGTCTGCGCGCTAACGTCAATCTTTTACTCGCTATTTTTTTTCCGACTCGTGGGACGGACCTCGTCGAAAAGTATGGCTGCTCGTAGTCAAGTGTATCTAAAACCTCAGCAAGAGAGGACATTATTCAAAATAAGACAAGTTGAACTCGGGTTTTTCGGGACCAGCACGCAACCTGTTAGGCCAAGCGCAGCACACTTGACAGTGTATATAATGTATGTAAACCGTAACAAGCAGCACGTTATTCGAATAAATGCAACTTTGACTCGAGTTCTTTGTTATTGACATTAAAATCTGATCTGTTACCAGACGGAATGGAGACACAGCTCGTCAACTCTTTCTTTAGAGGAAGCGAGCGATCTCGAAGCTTTGTTTAAAGACGCCATGGTTACTCGATTGGATAGTAGTGAAGGTAATAGAGTAATTTTGCGCCCTAATGAAGGGCTAACGCTCGAAACTGACGTCGGCTTTGAAACTCTTAACGGTGGCCAATTTTACGTTATCAACTCAGCTGATAATACGAAAGATCCTGTTATACTATCGCACCGACACAGCACTTTTAGACACAGCAGTCTTTTAGAAACTTGCCCCCTTTGAAGGTAATAGACACTGATCATTTTACATTCGGTATAACATGGTTGGCGAAGTATTTGCGTCAACTGTTATGCTATGCTTCATGTGACCTTAATTTCGGTTGTCTTGATTTAATTTTCGCCAGATGAAGACGTTCAGTGGCATGACGCACAAGAGTACCTTCCAGAAGAAAGGTGGGTCATTAGGTTTGCCATTGGTTCTGATAAGGCCGGAAAGTAATTTTTTTCCTTAACGTCTCTTGTATGATATAAAATGATTGGGTATTGGATACAATTTTCAGCAGAAGAAACAAACGAATAAGAGTGTTGGTATCATCAAAGAGTGAGTTTTTAAAAAGCTTTTATAGGTTACTATTCCTAGCCTTGAGTGACATGTTTAGTTACATATTTCTGCGAAAAACTTGAGTTTGGTCATATGAGTCATGCTTGCAGAATGGTAATTTCGTGGTATGGTGGGTTATACTACGAGTCAAAAAAAAAAAAAAAAAGAAAGATTGAGGTAGAAAGGAAAAAGGAGAATTGAAGGAAATTTATAGTTTTGCAGACTTTGAATTAACCAATCAAAAACACACTCTTTGGGTAAAATTTTTGTATTTTTGATATGTCACGATTACACATTTTGATTCATTCAGTCCTGAGGATGGCCACATTCATCCCGTTGAAGCGCATGAAGTCGACAAGATCAAATTAGCAGGAGATTTCACCATTGAGAAGGTATTTTCGGGGTTATTCCATTTTCACCATAACAAACTTTATTTAACGACAAATTCACTATCTGTTTTCGCGAGGCGACCTCGTGTGCATAGAAGTTAACGAAGAAGGAGCCTTTTCGTTTCACGATAGTTTATACGCATGCCTCGACTTCGACACTTCAAAAGGTACTCTGTTAATAGTTATGGGACATTTTGATAAGAACTCAAAGCATCACAAACAAGACAAAAAACAACACAAAAAGGCAAAAGAAACGCGAACAAAAAAGAAAAAGGAATCAAACAAGCAAAAACAAATCTACGGAAAAAAACAAAGTCAAAAGCACAGTTGACAATGTTTATGTACTCTACTCGCAACAGTTTTATGTGGAGTTCATCTTAATGTAACCTGGCTTTTTTCAGCTTCTTATCACTGTGGACAAAGCAGATGAACAAAAAGCTGTTGGTAATCCATATTTATCTCTGGAAATACGGGATGTTGGCACCGATTTGGTCGTTCATTCGTGGGACATTCATGCCAAAGTTAAAATTGGGTTTATGCAGCTCCTTGATAACCACTGGAAAGGTGAACTTAAAAAAAAATTATTATTTTATGTAGTCGTGGTGGATATGAGGTGGTAAATAGCTAACGAAGGACTTAGCGCAGAGCGGGATATCACCCATGCAGCTCAACTCAACAAGCATGAGAGGTTGTCAGTTGATAATCCAATGAAATAGTTGAAAATCGGCCATGAAAAAACTAATCTTCTGACGTATACACTTAAATAACTTGAAATAAAATTCTATGATTCTTTCTTCCTGGATACAGACGTTGATGGTAGCAACCTTTGCGTGTTGAATTCGTCAGCCACAGATGACTGGATTACCGTCAGTTACGTCAAGGTAAATTCTAAATTTCATTGTTGTTCTAGTAGTGGGAGCTTCGCTTCAGAGCACATCTAATTTTGTCTATTGCTGCCGTTAAAAAGTTTAAATGAAATTATGACTCACCACGTAGATTTTAAAGAGTAACCTCATCTTCCCCTAAATTGGCTTTAAATTCGCGGTCGTACTGAGCAACTAGGCCGCTTACCAGTGACATCACAGATTATCGCCTCTTTTCTTGTCGTTCTCAAAGCGACCTGTTTAAAAAGTAAGGAGACATAAGAAGAGGCATTTTCCTTTTCAATAAAATATATTTCTTCTGATGAGCACAGTAGAAGCTGTTTGTGAACAGTGCGTTTAGAATTTTCATGAGCGGCCAGGTTACAGAGGTTTTCAAAATGGCAGCGCTTAAGTCGAACTGTTAGCACCATGGAAGATCATTTTCGATTGATTTTTATAGCATACATGTAATTCACCTTTAATTTTGTTTTAAAAAAGAGACGCAGGTGTTCTTTAACTTGCTATAAGTAAACTCGAAGTTTACTGTGTATGTAGCGCTCATAATATAAGATGCTGATTATCGTAATGGTTTTTTTCCATTGAATTTTTTTTAGGCTGATCCATCAGGCCCAGAGTTCAAAGAAAAGTTTCAGTCAATTGAGCAATTGATTGAAATGAGGTTCAGCTCGTTAAAAATGACAGCCAAACAGGAAGCTATTGCAAGTTTCCAAATACTTGTCCTGAGTCTGTTTCAAAGGTAACCGTAGGGCCAGCATTTTTAAATGCACTTACTGGTGTTAAAACACTCTAATATCGAAATACCTTTTGTTTGCTTGAGTTAGAAAGATTTTCAAAAATACCTTCATTTTTATTTAAGTGTCTCAGATAAAATATCTAAAAGAAAAAACATTGAGGCGAATTTTGCAGCTTTTGCAGCTTCTTACAGATTAATTACAATAATGGGTGATTTGAAAATGGATGAAGTAAAGTGGCAATTGAACTTCGTGTCTTGCAATTTTGGTCTGAAATCAAATGTGAAATCACACGGATGATTTTAGACCAAATTTCACTCCACTCAGTTCAATTACCATTAGTTATTGATTTCTATATGGGCTTTGCAGCGAACCTGAGTGGCCAACTATTCCTCAGCGGTTTCTGGAGACAATCATGGAGGAAGATCACCCTGATGGCTCGGTTGGCAGAGGTATTGCTCTAACATTAATAGAACAACTAATCCTGGGCTGCTATGTTCTTTTTTACTATGCCCTGTGACTGCTTAATCGCAGTCGTGCTGTTAGCCTATGCTTTGACCAGCCACTGTGACTGCTTTTGAGTTGTGGTTTTTAAGACATTCATTCCAAAAGTCGCCCCGGGCTGTTAATGCTTCTGTCAAAATCGGTGACTGGGTAGACATGCTTTGGAATAAATTCCGTTCTGTTGTTTTATAGAACTTGTGAAAGGTGTAGATGAAGAAAAGAAGGCTCAAAGTGATACTGATGTTGTCAACTTTAAGATTGTGGCAAAAATAGAAGAAGTTACTGTAATTCTCAGTTCAATGGATCGCCATGTTGGAAAGATGGATGTTACAGGTTCGTAGCTTCAGTCCTCACTGTCTCTTATGGATATTTCTTGAGGCGGAAGATTTACTCACCTCAGATTGTTTTTTTTTTGGCGAACAGGTCTTGATGTCAGCGTAGATGTAGTTCCCGCTGAGGTGAACATAACAACCAAGTGAGTGCACCAATTGTCCTCGAAAGTATGAAGGTTGTCCAATACACCCAAATTGAGTAGATTCGTCTAAGGCAGCCTTCGAGTCTACCTGCTAGAAGTCAGAAACGAGTCAGATTGGGTGTGTTGGACATGTATGGGAGGTCTCACTCTTTTCCTTTTTTACGAGAGTAAAAACTTAAGATAGGCCTCGCGTTAATCACGACAGCTATTGAGGAATACAAATTTTATTACTGTACTAGATAAATCTCGCCTTTGCACTAGAAGGAATAAGTTTTCAGTTTCCTATCTCTGCCACGAAACGTCTCAAAAAATGGCCATTTTTCTGTTACGAGAGAGTAGCAGATGTGATTTGCAATTGTTGTCGTTCATTTTTATATCGGATTCAAATTTTACCTTAATTTCCCGGTTTTCAGTTTCCTACCAATGTTGGGAAACAAAGGAACAAAACTGTTTAGGTATAACGATCATTTTTGTTTTCCAGGTTGAAAGACTTGGATATTAAAGATCTTACAGACGGAACGTTGTATCCTCAGGTAAGATTGAGTTGTTTGAACTTGTCTATTTAGAGGCGACAGTTTTCAGTTGAGTTTCGAAAAACCAAAACCAAAGTATTCTTAATTGCCAGTTAGAACGAAGGTCGACGTCGTCGTCAGCCGATGAGATATGAAACGCAAGTGCCCGAATCACGAATAATTTTAATTGTGAATCCGATTGGTTGAGAAGGTGATGTACGTTTTATGGACTAATCACAGAACGAGGTTATGCAAAACTTAATCAATCATGAAATACTTTCGACACAATTGAAAACTGCTCTAGCATAACAACAGTTAGACAGACGATTTTGATGCCTTCTCTTGTAGGGGATACTTCATTTTTGATACTTGTAGTTATTATTAGATAGATAGATAGATAGTTTATTTATCCACATAACGCCTAGGAGCATTCAGTATACTCATTTACAATGCGCACGTGCAATTACAAAATCCTGAAAATAATGAAAATTACATAAGTATAAAAGACTATAAACAATCATGTGCAGGGCACATTAACAAATTCCTTTTATGGTGCTTAGCGATAAATAAACGGTACAAGGTTGAATTTGTCTATTATACTTCTAAAAGTATTCACATTACCAGCAATTCTAGCATTGCTCGGTAAAGTATTCCAAAGGTGGCTGGCTATGGATGCAAAGGAGTTAAGGAGCCACTTGCTATTAAAAAAATTATTTGTTGTGTCTAACTCAAACTGTAGATGTATGAATTTTTCTCATCCATTAAACAGATTTTAGACTTGGCGGATAACACAGTTTTTGACTGCAAGGTTAGTTGAATATCCCATCAAACATTTTTTGGCACAGCTACCGATACAGGTTGAAAGTTTAACAACGTTTTGATAAAGAGTATTATGACCCGAATTTTTTTCCTTTTTTTTGTACAACGTTAAGGTAACCATATTCAACAAGTCCTTACAAGGAGCCATTGCCGACCAGGATCCGACAGCTCTCGATTTCTCAGTCAACGTAAAACTTGGAAAACTCCGATTTGTATTCCTTGGCTATTTTGTAGCTCATCTTCAGGTTAGTGAGATGTTTCTGCCTCAAGTTAGATTTACGTATATGAATCCTTTGTGGAACTTGTGTGGATGAATAACGAAGGCAAACACGCAGTTTTCTCTTCTCTTCTGGTTTCAGAATTTTCTTCAAGCAATTGCAAGTCCAGAAACAGTTGCATATGCTCAGGAAGTAACCCAGAAAGCAGTTCTGAACCAGGTGAAACCCATAATTAACAACGTGCGGTCAAAAAACCAACGACAAGAACGATAGTAAAAACGTCAACAACATTAACTCTTTAACTCCCAGATCAAATTTGTAATTCTCTCTAATGTCAACCATATAATCCTTATAATATTAGTTCAGAGAATTTAGTAGTGGATCAACCAATTATCCCCAAATTAATATATTTCTTTATTCTCACCACTTATCTGCTTGATATCGTATTGATATTTTTTTGGAGATATTCTGTCTTCGTCACTAATGGGAGTTAAAGGGTTAACAACTTCTACTAGATAGTATTTGGCGACTGTGATCTGCTTTTAATCTTTTTGTTTTTGAAAGCGGTCGCAGACTCGTACATGTTGAAATAGTTTCAGTTTTTTCATTCTCACTCAATTGTTTGCTTCACAGTTCTGCAAAATTAATAGTGGCTGCTTGTTGCCTTGTAGCTTAATCAGCAATGGAAGAAATATCTTAGGCTGCATGTATTCCGGCTTACAATCTTTGGGCTATTTGTAACGGGTCACCTGTTCGGTATCGGTGCTATTTGGCTCACTGGCCTATTCTAACTTGCTTTTTAGGTTCAGCAAATCCAAAAACAGGGAGCTAAGATTGGATTGAACATTTTTGTAAATGCACCACAAATCATCATCCCTTGCAATTCAAGGTCGAGCGAAAAACTCGTTGCAGACCTCGGACAATTGAATGTTAGTAATTCTATAATCAACTCATCTCAATATGGACTTCTTGATCGCATGGATGTACGATTCAGTTCATTTCAAGCCTCAGGGTATGTCCCACATTTTATATTTCTTTGAGAAATAGTCGTTGAAATTCAATCTAGTGTACAAAGATTAAGATTTAAAATTTATCACTCTTCGTATTTTTCGTAGATCTGTACCAGGAAACGTAAAGTTACGGACGTTTTGGCTTACGATTGGCATCTATGAAATCAATTTTATATCACTCCTCAAATTTATTTTACCATATAGTTCTAGTGCGTGGTCCTTATCTCTCCAGTCCACAGTTTTGAGAACGATTGGGACGACCCGAGCGATATCTGGAAACTGGGCTTAAGTTGAGCTCATACTTTTCACATTTTACTCGTGTGGTGCTATATTGATAAACTTTCTTGTATCCTTCGAAGAAACATGATTCTTTTGATTCCATATTTTTCTGTTACTTAGCTATTCTCAAGTGGAAAAACATCTCAGTGAGTATTTGATTGAACCAGTCGAGTTGAAAGTCATTGTAAAGAGAAGACTGGGGCTGGATAAGAGCGATCTCCCTTTGATTGAAATAGAGGGGAGTTTGGAGCTGTTTAAGGTAAACATCTGACCATTCACAGGATATTACTGTGTATCCCGCAGTTTATTGAAAAGCGCCTTTTACAGGCAAGATTTCCTTGACAAGCTTTCCTTTGACAACTTTTCTGGTTCGGTCTTTATAGATGGGATTAAAAAAATTATGAATAGAATGAATATAATTTAATTCATTTTTATTTCTAGATGAACCTGGGAGTGAATGATTTTCAGATGTTGATGATGGTTTTGAACGATAATTTGTTGGAAGGCCAGAACGGTAAGTGTCATTTTTGACTAATGTGCAATTGTATTTTCACTGCTGCTGTAGGTAAAAGTTTTTAGTATGAAACAACTTCACACAATTGTAATGTGTTCTCTACGACTTAATAAAATATTTTGCTCAATCTCTAGTGCTCGTGAACATAATTTTATTTTTGATGTGTCTTGTTGGTCATCTTTTTAAAGAACGTACACCTGCATCTAAAACTGAAGACATGAAGAAAGAGGAGGAACAGAAGGACGATCCTCCAGACAACACTGATGCCAAGTCTATGGATGAAGTAACAAATATTAAATGTCTCTTCAAGCTGAATAAGGTTTGTATTAGTGTACCTTTTCTACGGGGGTTTATTGTTACTCCTTTCCAATATTTTTGTGGGTAGTGCACCATAAGTACACTCCTTGTATTTGCGTCGGCTGTCAGTGAGTGGTATTCCTCAAAAGCACTACCCATGTTAGTACCGCACTGGAGGTTTCGTCTCATTTAAAGGAAAGTTGGGAAAATAAGCCTCGGCTCTCACAAGCCGTGACATAGATAAGAAGGGAGCTTACGCATTCACGATCTAATCAAGCCGCGATTTCTTAAAAACGTGAAACCGAAGGCATGAATAAAGTGACACTTGGTTGCTGACCATGCAAACCATATACTGTGCAGGCGTAGATGTCATCACGCATGCGTTTTCTTGTACTTGCTTACATTCGAAATTGAGGGGAGGGGAGGGGAGGGGGGCGAGAGCGGTCGAAATCAACATTAATAGGGATTTAGGCGAAGGCAACCTAGGGGAGAGCTCATGTAGGCTGCGCTTGCGTTTACAATAGCTGTAGGATATTTCCTCGTATAAATGGCCCTTTAATACAAAGGTATGTTCTGACTTTTCCCGCTCTTATTTACCTTTTCTGTATGGTCCTTTTTAGTTTCAAGTTAGTTCGCCCAAAGTTGTTGATGGTGTCTGTAAGCCATATTTGGTTCTTGAAACAACCAACTTGAGTGCCACTGTCACCATGGAAACATGGATCCTCAATGCATCTGCAAAGCTTGGAGCTATTGAGCTCGTCGATCATTTGAACAAAGGTATTCCAAGTGTTTGAAAAGATAGGTGGAAACATGTCAATTAAATTACATGTTTGGTTCACTTTTTGTGTCTCTGTTAGATCTTGAGGGTAGAAGGGTTATTAAATAGCTGTTGGCCCGGTGACGGAGTTTCAATTACAATCCTTCATTTGGCTTGAATTGTTTAGCAGACGTAGAAGTGACTTTTGTAGATCCGTGTAGTACTCTTAACTTTTAGAGTAGCTTCACGAGTTACCAATACTTACTCACAAAACACGACCATAGGAAAAATGAACGTTAACAAATGATATGCAGTTTTGTGTAAAAAGCAATGACGGTGAAAAGACTCCGTCGTGTTTGTAAAACATTTTTACTCCTGGCCTCGGTTGTTCAAAGGGCAGATAACGCTCTCCACTGGATAAATCGCTCTCCGGTGGATAACGCAGTAAGTTTTGTTAACAGTTATCCGCTGGATAGTGATTTATCCGTTGGATATCGTTATCCACCCTTTGAAGAACTGGACTCTGATGTTTTGTGTTTCTTTAAGGTGCGGATGGTTCGCCAGTAAAATTTTTGTCTTCCTCTCAGGATACAGATCTTATTTCTGTTTCATACAAAAGGGTGAGTGAAATGACGCCCAGATAAGAAACTTTAACTGAACATCATTCTTTGGGGAGGCAGGAATTACTTGATGGGTTGTATGTTTTCCTGCCCTGCCAAACCTGACTCAGTCAATACGCATTGTATCGTATGTCTGTCGCTCTCCTGTATTCTTTCTGTTCGCATTGCACTGGGCTAGACGGCGTTTTCAGGCCGTACCTCCGCTATCTCGAAATGTTTGTCAATAGTAAAAGTTCTCGCAAGGCCGTACGGGTGACATGTTAAATTATGGTACTTTATGTATAAGACGTTGTCACAGAAGAAGTGTTAGATGCTAGATTATTACTTTTACTGTTTTTCAAAGGTTGATCCCAGATGTCCAGAATTTAAATCGACATTCCGCACCGTAGAGCAGCAAATAAACGTCAGTTTTTCAACGCTGAAAATAGATTGTCTTCAAAAAGCTCTGATGGATTTGCAAATGCATGGCCTTGCTCTTCTGTCGAGGTAACACAATACAGATACCGTAATTATTCTAATAGACCAGTAATAAGATAACAATATATATTATTTTTTCAATAATATAGTAAATTGTTAACGCTCTTGCAAAGAGATGCTCAGGTTTTTGTTTCTCCAGCTAGTGCTTTCTAAAGAAGCCAACTAATGAAACATTTAAAGCGAATGCTCAGAATTTCTCTGGTAACCATTACGCTCTCCCGTGTCGCTTTGTGGTTTAAATGTATAGTTATTTTAGTCTTATCATTAAAGTAAGAAAGAAAGCTATTTTTTTAATTACTCCAAAGTCATCGTCTTATTCTTAACTTTCTTAAAACTTCCTTCATCAGAAGCGTATTAGCAGTAATTACACTTGAAATGCAATATCAACTTAGTTTTGTTTACTTACCGAAAATTTTCCTTTTTTTTTTTTTTTTAAATTGTAGTTTAGGAGAGTCATCAAGCGCTCAGAAGCCAGACAGTGCGATTAATACTGATTCAGAGCAGAAAGTACAAAGTGTCGTGAGCCTGAAGTTGAACGCCGAACTGTCAGAAGTTGATGTTCTTGTCAGGATCTCCCATAAAAATCTGGCGAGAGTCAAGGTTCAAGGTACGTGTTCACAACATCTTATTTCAGTTGCCATTAACTCCAGAAGCTACTGACTGGAAAAGGCCTTTAACTACATAGGACAGGCGCAATTGTCTCTAACAGAAATAAAGTTCAACATGGCAGTACAGTTTCTTTCAACAATTAGCTTTTATCGTCGCGGTTGATTTGACCTCCTTTAGAGTGATCCTAAGAAAAACACTTTGTAGGCTGCGGCATACCCTTGCAACTCTAATTAACGTTCTACTTCAGGTTTAACTGCAGAATTTCTTTTGTGGGATGACGGAATTGTTTTAAAGTCCAGGTGAGTCTTGTTTTGTTAACTGCTTAACCCTTTGACTGCTAAGAGCGACTAACATCTACTTTCTCGTTACAATACCACCCCTGAATCACACATAAAGGTCACGAGAATACAGGAAATGATCACCAACTAAACAAGCTCTTGACTGGTGAACAAATTCTCCTTATCAGCACCTAAGGAAATGTACAGAGAACCGTATGGAGAATATGCATACTGATGTTAGGGTGTTTACGGTTATTGGCTTTGGGTCAAGAAAATTGATTTAGTCGAAGTTGGGAAAGGGCTGGGTTAGGTTCTGCACGTTGCCATTTTCATTGTGGAAAGAAAGGTATCAGTGAAGCATTGCAGTTATCTTGATAAACCATAACATACACGTTGCAGTGGAGTGACACTATTTTCCATCATTATTTTTTCATTGTAGGCAGAATGATCTCTCTGTGGTCGACCTGAATAGCCAAACCTATTATCCCAAGGTAAAATTTTTTAAATAAGGTGTTTGCTGTTTAAGTATTTGGCGTGTCCAGGAATGAACGTCGATGAGATTTATATACTGTCCATTTAGAGATCATCAATTGTCCTCACTGTTAAAATCCAACAAAGGACACTTCATTGTGTTAAAAATGAGCTATATAAAGACACTTATCGGATATAGATTTATCAAAAGTACACACCAAATCCATGTAATATTTACGTTGAATCCTGAGAATAATTGTGTTCTCCAACCTGCATAAGGGTTTCAATGTTGTGTTTTGTAAACTCAATTACATATTTACGTGTTGTGGGATAGAAATGATTAGAATTAGCTACACATCTGCATGCATTCGGACGCTCGTAAAGGTATGATTGAAGCACAGGTTGAAGATTTCATATGCAACTGAATTTTTTTTTGGATTAAACGGGAATAACTCCTGTGAGGATCTGATGAAATTTTTGGACACTATCCCTATGAAAAGTTTAAGGGTTAACAGGTTATTCCTAGAACTTCCTTTTAAATGAGATATGACTTAAACACAAACATTGTTTTATTAATTATTGCTTTGCGGTAACAAAAAGCAGTGATTTTAATATTTATTCCTTTACTTGCAACGTCAGATTATCTCTGTGGAGAATGAAAATGTCTTTGACTTTGAGGTATGATTAACTTCCTCTTTTCACTTCGTAGCGATGTCTTTGAAATTAATTCTTGTCAGAAACTTTTATGTAGACTATGCATCGTGGTCAAACATTTGTGAGTTTGTTGTGTGTGCGGCCAGAAACCTGAGTTACCATAAGTTTGTTGTCCAAAATGGCGGCGCCCGAAGTCGAGTTCTTAACACATTTCTCGACAGTGTTCGACAAGGTATTATTGGAGTCTATCACCGCAGGCGAAAGAAAAAATTTTAACATATCTTTACAACTGCAGGGTAAAACTACGTGATTTTTGAGCTTCAATGTAAGCTCTCCTTAAAGGAAAAGTAATCGCAATGTTGCCAGTTTTCAATGCAAATGAAATACCTTTACCTTATGCAATTGATATGATAACTTCATGATGAAGTATCTCTCTTCCAGTTTAAATATTTCAACAAAGGAAATCTTCCCAAGAGTGACCCAAGTCCTGCTGACCTTACACGACCGGATGGGAACCTTGAGTTAAACATTGGGAAAATAAACATCGTCTTTTTGTATCGATTCATAACGGAATTGATGGTGAGTACTTCAGTTTTTTGTGCAGAAAAATTTCCTCTATTGAGCTGCTGCAACAAAACGTTGCGGCAGTTATCAGTTAGGCGGAAAAAATTGGATTGTTAGAAGTAAGTTTAATGGAAAACAATGCCGTGAGGTTGACAAGTTGCGTTTAGCCGTATAAAACACGATGCTAGACTGTGATTGGCTGAGTGACCTTGATCATCTGTGATTGGTGCATGTTTATCTTAGCTGTATTGGTGAGTTGTGCGGTCGACTGGCTGCTGGTTTACAGCCCTGTTTTTTCGTTTAACTTTTCGTGAGTAGTGAGACAAACAATAATACTTCGTTATTTAAGTGGAAAAGCAGCACTCGGCACTAGTAAGAATGCATCTGTAGTAGTATTAGAAAAAATGTTATCTGTACTCTTTTTTTTTAACTCCATCTATTGCTTCTTTTCCAAAGCAATTCGTTGAGCCTTTAACAAGTCCTCAGTCAACTCAGTACGTACAAGAAACAGCACAAAGGGCAGTTACAGAACAGGTAACTTCATGTGTTAAGTTTCTATTAGAGTTGCATTGACAACAGCGCCTTAGCCCTGTTCTCTTTCGCAGTCTCCTCCTCGTCTTTTTGTCACACTCTTGGCATTATTACCCTCCCTCCCCTCCCCAACCTTCTCATCAATATTATCTCTCCCTTTTCTTTTTGTCCATGATCCTCGACCGGAATATTTTATTTTCTAATTTCATTGATCCAAAGCTATTGTCAGGACACATAAGGGGGTAGGTTGCTGAAGTAACTGTGGTGCTGCGTTGTTGGAGAATATTCCAAGATAATTTGGCTCTGTCAACTGAATTGATGATGAAAATTGGCCACCGTAAAGTTTTTCTAAAGGTGACGTTTTTAACGTTTGCCCTTCGTCTGGGCGAATAAAATTGTGATGCATTTTGCGATGTATTTTGCTTATTGAGGTACCGTTAAATGTGATATTTAAGGTGGAGTCCATCCATAGTCAAGGAACTCGCATCGGCTTAAAAGTGGCCATCAGTGCCCCTCTTGTGATCATTCCACGTCACTCTCGCTCAGCGGATATGCTTATTGTTGATCTTGGACATTTGGATCTTCAAAATGAATTTGATGTTCTCCCTACATCACTGAACGACGAGAACAAAGAGGCTGTATTCGATATAATGGAATTGTCTCTTCAATCGCTGCAACTAGCGAGGTGAGATAGTGACGATGTTGGCTAATAAAGGTCTTCAAAATAGAAATAGCGATGATGGAATTTATAAACAGTTATGTACGAGAAACAGCTAGGTATTGATTTTACAAGTGGATAGAGTTCTATTGGTGTTTTCTCATTTAGATTCAATGTGCGTAAAGGTGAACTTTGTCCTGAGAAGACTACATGAAATATCAGAAAAGAAAAATGACGTTACTCATAGTAATGAAATATTATCGTCTGTCTCACGATATCGTCGTTTCCGATGTGGATTGCGACGTTTCGTAAGTCTTCTTCAGGCGATAAAGAAGACTTTCAGTACCCAATCCAAACGTCTCAATCCATGTACGAAGTGATCTCGTCGTGAACCAAACGATAATACAGCAGGTAATTTAGTGTTAACGACTGAGTTGAAAACGTAAATTAGCCACCGTAAAGGGTAAAAAAACTGACGTTTCGAGCGTTAGCCCTTCGTCAGAGCAATCGCGGTGGCTAATTTACGTTTTCAACTCAGTTGTTAACACTAAATTACCTGCTATACTCTCCCACCGACGCAGCACCACAGTTTCTTTAGAAACTTACCCCTTTATTTAAACGATAATACACCCTTACAACTTGTATAATGTACTAAAAAGTTATTACCAAATTGCCTTCCTTCTTTACGTAGAGGTGTGATGGATACAAGTTCGTCTTCGGTGATCAAGCGACATCTCATTGAACCAATAAAACTAGAGGCAAACATCAAGCGTTCTCTATTACCTTCTTGCAATGAGATTCCAATCATAGATTGCTCAGCTACTCTGGACTTTGTCAAGGTATTTTTATTGTTTGTCTCACGATGTAGTTATTTCCTCTGTGGGGGCAACGTTTCGACTACAAAGTGAGGTGGACTGGTCACTCGTCACGTTATACCCATAATGCTCTGGTATCTTTTGCCGAAAAAAAAAAACGGAGATAGAGAATCCATTGCGAAAGATGTTAAATTTTGTTCAAATTTCACCATCCCAACTACCCTAATCTGTTTAGTGTTATTCTTGATGTTTGCTTCTGAAGAACACCTTTTGACTATGAATGGCATATTTTCTATAACCCTTGAAGGAAAACAAGAATTTGGTGTCAGATCAAGATTACAACTTCTACCTGATAAATTCGAGTCTTCTCGTAACCTGTTTGCTGGATAACGTATCGATATTGTATGGAGAATTTACATGTGACTCGCCTCTGGGAGTTAAAAGGTTAACCCTTGCTTTTTTTCCCTTAGAAAATGAACAAAGAATATTTTCTTTCTCGAAAACGGATGCTCGTTAATTGAAAACGCCTTTGGACAATCGGAAGGCTGGGTATAAATCCTTACTGGGGGACTTGACTTAATCAAAAGATATATTTATTTTTCCGATTGAATTTTTAACTGATACTCCACCACAGTCATTTAAAGGCTGTGGTTAACTTTTTACTGCCGCCGGCCGCACTGTCTCTATCAATGCACTTTCTTGGTTGAAATTGTAGTTTGCAAGTTATTTGTGTCGGTAATTGTTTTTTTAATCTTTGTTTTCAGATGAATCTGGGTCGACAAGATTACCACGTTCTCACGACACTTTTTCAAGAAAATATGAAAGAAGCTGAAAGTGTGATACTGGAAGGTACGAACACGTCTAGTGTCGTCTAGTATTAAATTGACTTTTAAGATGAAGCAGACATTGTTCTTGTTTGAAACTTACAGGAGGTGGGAACCCCATGCAACTTCTTTTTTTTTGCATTCTTTTGCTTTTCAGACCAAACGAGACTTGATCAAAGCTTGGCAGAGGAACAAGAGGAACGTATTGACCCGTCTACTGTAACAAATATCTCATCTGGTATGATATTATTTGCATTGATTATTTTCCATGCGATTGAAAATGACGAAAAACGTTGATAGTAACTGAAAAAGATCTGAACAAAGAAAAAAATGAAGTCAGCAATCGTTATAAACGTAAAATTCAAAACAGAAAGAATGTTTTACCCTGTCGACGAGTTATGAAACTTACTTAGAAACGGTTCGATGTAAAGAGTGATTATCTTTACAGAACCTGGTGTACCCGAGGAGACTGCGAAAAATGTGTGGGACAGAATGGTGTTTTCATTTGATCTTGCTGGTGCTAGTCTTATTCTGTACAACAATGAGACTCCTTTGGTAAGTTAAGCGTTGATATTTTTACTGAAATTTGTTAGTTTAGTTGTGCACAGAGTGCAAAATGAAACCAATTCAAACTCGAGTTACCTTCGGCACTCATTTGAAAGTTACTTTATAGAGGTTCGGTTTACTTTAACAACTGCAGGACCCGTTTGATACACAGTCGTCGGTCTGCGATCCAGCTACAAAACTCTGTTTATGTCATGTGGAGGAAAGTGTAGTTACCGTGGTTTTGCCAAGTGACAGCTCTGTTCAAATACACTGTGTACTTAATGGCTGTGTTGTCGAGGATGCCAGAGAAGGAACAATTTCTGCTTTTCCTAGGTAAGTGAATGAATGTAGGCTTGATAATTAAGTTTGTTTGTGACATCAAAGGAATTACGCTGTTTCCTCTGATAGTTGGCTAGGAGATTATAAACTGGTTATAGATGGTGCTGTCTTGATTACATAACGATAATTTTCTTGCTAAAATGTGTGCAATTTCTCTTTACATCATTTGTTCGCTGGAGGGGTAGGACCTGTGGGGTTAATACCTCTCTAATTTGAAGGTTTCGTGTCTTTTTTCCCAAAGGTTAGTGGACAAAAAGATGGCGACACACTCAGGAGTTCGAACATCTTCATCCTCTAAAGAAATGTGTGACGTACTTTTCTGTCAGTTACCGTCAGGGGAGATGAAAGGTTTGCTATCGTTGTTTTAACCACTGATGAGTTACATAGTTGCATAATTCGTGCTGCAGTAAGGAATCGCGTGCATCTCCTTTTTGGCGAATTTACTGCTACTTTTGAAAGTTCCAAGACAAAATCTGTGATTGCGAAAACATTGCTATTTTATTTTTCCTCCGGCTCATACTGGTTATTTCACTTTCTCATGTATTTCTTTTCTTTTCTCTTTTTGTTTTCATCTTTTGCAGTCCAAGTGTCCTTGCAAAACGCTACCATTTTTGTCAACTTTCCTTTCTTGTTCATTTTACTGGAGTTCATCACCATTCCGCCATCCGACGTGAATCATCCTCGAGAGCCACAAGTCTCAGTAGTCAGTCAAACCTCTCTGGATGCTTCAGGTGTTAGGGACCCAGAAACTCCCAGGGAGGGGAGGGATGCACAGATACACAGGACTGAAAGTGGAGATGTCACTTCTACTGATGCTCCTAGTCAAGTAGATGCTGCAGCATCGCCTACTCAAGAGACGCAGCTGAAAATTGTTGTTCATGGTGTAGTGGAAGATCCAAACATTGTCTTACTTTCTGACGCTACAAACAAAGAGAGCGAGGCGCTTATTGTTCAGGTGATTGGATTTTGGTCGCTGTTTTTGAGCATTTTGATATTTATGTAATCAGATAGACAAAGATACAGAGGTTATCGCGATTGAATTATTATGACCAACTTACTTTGCTTTCTACATTTACCTTTTTGGTTAACTGTCTGTTGACAGTTCTGTTATCTGGGATTTTTTATCGGTTTTCTTATATGAGAATCATAGTCGATGACCATTTGATTCAAGAAGTCGTTCTCTTTCAATGGCTACCACTTTGATTGAAGCAACGCAGTAGCAAATCAAACCTTGCGTCTTCGTAACATGGTTACAGAGTTCTTCATTCTTGTGGCCGTTTTCTCGTTTGTGCTGTGATATTTGATAAATCTTCCATATGTTGGCAAAATAAGAAAACAAAAACTGATATAGAGAATGAACATTTCAAAAAATTTAGGCGAAAGTGAAGTTTGATTATACTTTGGAAGGAGTGAAGCAGAGTCTTTCAGCGGATTTGAAAAATCTCCAAATGCAAGCTGCACAGTTTCCTGATGTTAAAAGGACATCTTATAAGGTAACGTAAATAAGTAGGTTTTTGCTTCTCTTACCGTAGCCCGTGCATTAATGAGAAGACTTAATGGATTATGCGAAGAGGTGATAAGTCCATAGATAGCTGGATGCAACGAGTGTGGACGATAGAAGTTGCATTTTGTTCGTACAAATGGCTTTTCGTGCCTACACTGTAGCGTTAATGGAGAAAACTACAAAGACGCACATAACCTTTTTTTAGCATCCAGCTGTATAACCGACTTTTAAATGGGAATTGTTTTTTTCAGGTTTTGAACCCTTGTTCATTGTCATTTAAGTACTTGACACCGGCCTCGACTGAGGGTGGTCAAGACATCTCTATTACATTAGAAGAAATGGTGTTCGAATTCTCTCCAGGTCTCTTCACTACTGTCAGTAACGTAGTTACAGCATTAACAGGACAGCAAAAGGTAGCTGTCTTTATGAGTTGAACTTTTATTCAAACGGAGCTTCAACATCTCTCTC